ATCACACAATTTTACTAGCTTTCTGCCCCTAACTGCTCTCTCATCGTTAATTAAACGTGTTGCCTTTTACAGAATGGATGTTTATACATTTCCAATATAAATAAATTCGAAACCATCCTCTCTCTCTCTCTCTCTCTCTCTCTCTCTCTCTCTCTCTCTCTCTCTCTCTCTCTCTTCTCTTCTCTTTTCTTTCTTTGCTTTTGGTCTCACCATTTACAAGCACACCTTGGCATGGATTCTATCTTAGAAGCAGACACTGAAAATAAATGAAGTTTTGAGATGCAAATCCAAACAAAAACATTAAATATTCCCCCCCCCCTTTTTTTTTTCTCCTGCCAAACGAGATCTAGAGAGATATACAAGGGGCAGTGGTGAGAAAGTGCATTGGAAAATCTCATCTGCTGGGGGAAGTGTAAATAATTGGAATGGGTTAGGGCTCCTGGTATTTCTGTCCTTCCCACCTTCCTTAGTGGCAGCCATCCAGACAATCTATGAAAGATTGTCACCACGGAGCACACTTCTGTCTGGGGTGGTTGTGAGGAGGAAAGGGGAGCTGTTTTTCAAATAGCTCCACCCATATTTTGTTTTCTCTGCAGGAAAGCAGGTAGCAGTTCTTGAGGGGAGGCTCTCCCCTCACTCCTCAGAACCTGGACCCATCTAACCCCGATTGTAAGAAAACTGCATCTGCTGGAGAAAGAATGATTCTATCTTAGACAGCATCAATGATTTGGTCAAGTGGTTGGTAGAAGTCTGTGACTTAATGGAAGATAAAGAGAGCATATGGGATACTTGGGCCTGGTGAGGTATAGGTGGGCCATTGCAACTCTTGTACTTTCTAACCATTTCCCTCCCCCAGTGTTGACCATTTAAGAACCCAAATTGAGCTGTAATTAATTTTCCTTTTCTGTCATAAATTGTTCCATTCGCACCCACCCCTACTCGCGCCCAAGAAGGACATACTAAATCTCCCCTCCCCAGGAGATGTCTCAATTTCCTTCCTATCGATCCTGACTCCACTCCTCTGGTCCAATTGTCACAGCCTAGGTCCCTTTTTCCCTGAATTTGTCCCAGTGGCTTCCACAGCCGGGTACTGGTTCCTCTGTCAGCATCAGGACAAACAGGAGTTTTCATTCCATTGTCATTTGTGAATCCTTTCTAATAACTGAACAGATGAGAGCACTAGCTACCATCTTCGTCTAAAGTCTCCTCCTGCGAAGTTTGCTTGCTGTGACCCAAGTCATCACTCCCATGCGTAATTGTCTACCTGTGTTCGCCTCTCCCTGGCCCCTCCCAATAATCCGTGGAGACTCAGAGAATGTTTACCTATTTCCGTTTGCTCCATCCAACTCTCCTCCCCAACGTATCTCACTTACTTTTTGGTCTACTTGCTTCTCCATCGCTGTGTTAAAGTTTGCAGTAACTAATGATTTGTGGGTTTGGGGCTTCAAACTGCAAGCTCGCAGCCAACTAGCCCAGAATCTAGATATAGCTGCTAGGGACCAGAGCCAGCAAGGGCTCCGGATCGGACTCTGACCGTCTAAGGCCATCTATGCCCTCCCGTGGCAAAGGCCACAAGGACCCCTCCTGACTCCCACTCGTACCATCTCTTCCTTTCCTCTCAGGGAGATTGTGCAAGCACAAAGGGAAGGGGGAGACGCGCACGCAGCCGGTTCCCAAGCTGAAAGCAGTGGCGGAAAAAATCCTCAGCCTCCGCTGCTAATCGATATTAAGCGTTGAGGCCGGTGCTGGAGTGGGCTGTCCGGGCAGGAGCCAGAGGATCCTGCACGTCTCATCATTTAGCTAATCGAGTCGAAAAGTTTTTGTAAGGGCCGGACCCAGCATCAGATGGTAACACTGATTGAACAAGAGATTAGCACAATAGATCTCTAACCGAGGGGAAGCGTTGCTTTTCACGCTACGCGCCGTAATTAATGGTATGAATCAATTAATTTGACTTTTATTGTGTCGAAAGAAAAAAGCGCAACAAATGGAACTGGCAGCTGGGAGTTGTTCACCACCCCCTTCCCCAGGGAGGTTACGAGGAGACACCCGGGGAATGGACGGCCTTGGAAGAGGGCGGGTGAGAGTCAACCTCCAGTGGCGAGGAGGAAGTCCCGAGAGCCAGCTCTTGCTAGCGGTGAAATCGAAATTAGGTTCATTTGGAGACTTCAAAATGACCGATTAGGACATCCCTGGAGCTGCTGATCTCCGCTGCGTGCGCCGCCGCGGCCCAGCCACCAAGGCCGAAGTGCCCCCCCACCCCACCCCGCGCTGTACCCCGTGCCTGCCTCTTACAACTGGTCCATGCAAGTTAGGCAAAAGGAGTTTCTAAATGTGCAAATGTTATCTTCTTTTTCTTTTCTTTGAGTTGCTCCTGCAACTGCGACCTCTGTAGCCTGGGGTGATGGGCAGCCAGCGCCAAGCTCGGGTCCGCTTCGCAGGAGGCTGTCTATAGACCGCACTAACTACGGTTCAGAGACTGCAGGTCACAAAGCAATGGCAGCTGCAGAAATCAACTCAGAGATGCGTTGTAGGGTTAAGTGTCACCTCGAGATCACTTGAAAATAAAAACCGTAGTAGAGGTGCCAGGTGTCTTAGAAATTGTCCCGCCGCCCTCCCCCCCCCCCCCAACCTGTCCCCATGTCCCAAAGAGGAACATGCAGCAAATTCGGGATCCAAGAGCTAATGTTAAGCCAGGGGAATCGTCTAGTGGGTAAAAGTCAATCTGTGTGTCGCGATGCCTGTAATGAAGCAAGTTTACAGACTGGAAATTTTTTATTTTAATTTATTTGACGTTAAAGCAAAGAGGTCACGTAAATGGGAAGACAGACTAAGAGTATAGGGCGCTCCATTGTCCTCCCGGAATTAAACACATTTTCCGTTGTCTTTTGTAAATATTTCAGGACTTCTTTCCTCCCTGACCTCCTCCCTGCGCGCTCCGCCTTGGGGTGAGGTTGCCCTCTCCCCGCCCCAGGCCTTCAGCACCCGGCCGAAGGACTAGTCTAGAGTTCCAAGAGCCAACCACACTCGGCAGGCTCCTGCGCTTTGCAAAGAAGCGAACTAAATGCGGGAAGAAAGACGGCGCATCGCGATTTACCGGGTCAGAGGCACGGATTCTATTCGGAGGTGTGAGGTCCAAGCGCCACTACAACGCCCCGCACCCAGGGCCGTCTGCAGTCCCCACCCCCATTCGGAATCGCCACCGTCTTTCTTACCATCGCTGACTCCCGGCCAAAGAAACTCCTTGTGCACCGGCCACGTCTTCGCGTCCTCCTCCACCTGCTCAGTCGCTGCGTTCCCAGGCAGTTAAATCTTGGACGGTTTGTCTAGCTTTTAAGGGAGAATACACGTTAGTTAGCAGCAAAAAGAGAGATCCAATCCGTCCAGCTGCCCGAGACCACAGCAGGTCCCTGGAGGCCGTGCTAGCCGCCAGCTCCCCAGACTTTTTCAGCTATGCGGAACTGGGGGGAGGCGTCTCACCTGTGGGCCCGTCGCCCCCCACCCCTCCCCACTTACCCAGGCCGCAGCCAGTACCGCTTCCTTCCCCAGCTCCTCGTTTCCGACTTTTTCATATGCTAAGTCGTTTAACAACTCTTGTGGCTAGTTAGGGCTTCCTTTATTTATAGGTTCCCCGGCATTTTACGTGTCGTTTTTATTTCTCTCGGCAACTATTCTAATAGATTAATCGATAGCTATTTTCTGACCTTCGGGAACCCCAGCTGATGCTGTTGTGAATGAGCGAAAAATATATATATAGAGAGAAAAAAACATGCCTGCGCCAAGCCTGGAAAGCGAAGGTAAGACGAGTCGTTAGGTTTAGGAGAAGGTAGAGACCCCTCAGCAGGTGTCTCCCTTCCCCAGCCCCCAAGAGCAGAGGCCGGAGGTGGGGGTGCGAGGAGGGGGGAAATGTGGGAGTCTAGTAAAAGGGAGCCGAGTGTGCCAAGCTCACTCTTTAGAGGTAAAACATCCAAACCAAAATCCCAAAGCGATGCACATGTTTAAAAATGAGACGGCAACCTCGTTCTACATTGCCAGTCTGAGTCAAAGGAATGTTAGCTCAGGAGTGGGGGGAGAGGGGGGTAGGGGGCAGAGAAGGCCGGGCAGCTGGAGCCGCACGGTCCCGCGGACACTCTAAGGCCCACGAACTCTCTCTCTCTCTCTCTCTCTCTCTCTCTCACACACACACACACACACACATACACACACACGCACACCACTCACACCCTCCCTGGACCCCGCGCCGGGTTCCAGTCTAGCCAAGGGGTCTCCGGATGGGCTGAAGCGCCCTCGGGGCCCTCGGGATGGCTGGCTCGCGGTGCGGTGCGGAGTTGCGCGTCTCTGGTCCCTTTGTTGACAATTCCCTGAACCAACTTGAGTTTGGCCAGCTCCGCCGCGGGCCTGACGTCACGCGTGGTCACGTGGCCCCGCCTCCCGCTGGATCTTTAAGTAGAAAGTAATCTATCAGGCCAGTCCTTAAAACGGGACTTTCGACTACCGGGGCTTCGGCGTCCCTGACACCCCCTCCCCTCCCTCCCCTCCCGCTCCCCCGCGGCTGCCCCAGCCTGCGCCCTCCCGAGCTGCCTGGCGCCCGGCGGCCCCGCGCTCTTCTGGACCGCTCCTGTGTCCCACGCCCCGGCCCGAGGCCCGAGGAAGGCGGGCGAAGTGAGGGGGCGCGGCGTGGAGAGCCCTACCCGGGCCGCGAGCGCTCGCCAGCGCCTAGGAGGGCGCGCCGGGGGACCGCAGGAGTTGGCGGAGCGCGGCCGTGGGGGCGGACGGCGGCGCCCGTGCCGCGCGATGTCGGGCCTCCGCGAGTGAGCCGAGCCGGGCGGGCCCCGTGCCACCTGCGCCCCCTCCCCTCTCCCCGGCCCCCGGTGTTGTCGTTTTCTTTGGAGGGGGGCAGTGGAGAGGCGCCCCCACTTCACCTGAGCTCCGCGGCAGCCCCTCACCACCCCCATCGCCCTCGGCTCCCTCCTCGCCGCCGCCACCAACCCGGAGGAGGGATGACCCTCTCCGGCGGCGGCAGCGCCAGCGACATGTCCGGCCAGACGGTGCTGACGGCCGAGGACGTGGACATCGATGTGGTGGGCGAGGGCGACGACGGGCTGGAGGAGAAGGACAGCGACGCGGGCTGCGATAGCCCCGCCGGGCCGCCCGAGCTGCGCCTGGACGAGGCGGACGAGGGGCCGCCGGCGGCGCCCCATCACGGGCAGCCTCAGCCGCCCCACCAGCCAGCCCTGGCATTGCCCAAGGAGGCTGCGGGCGCCGGGAGCGGCCCGGGGAGCGAGGCGGGAACGCCGGAGGCGGACGGCTGTAAGGGCGGGGAGGAGGGCGCCGGGAGCGGCGGCGGCGGCGGGCCGGGCGCGGGCAGCGGTGCGGCGGGCGGCCTGACCCCCAGCAAACCCAAGAACAGCCTGGTGAAGCCGCCCTACTCCTACATCGCGCTCATCACCATGGCCATCCTGCAGAGCCCGCAGAAGAAGCTGACCCTGAGCGGCATCTGCGAGTTCATCAGCAACCGCTTCCCCTACTACCGGGAGAAGTTCCCCGCCTGGCAGAACAGCATCCGCCACAACCTCTCGCTCAACGACTGCTTCGTCAAGATCCCCCGCGAGCCGGGCAACCCGGGCAAAGGCAACTACTGGACCCTGGACCCGCAGTCCGAGGACATGTTCGACAACGGCAGCTTCCTGCGGCGCCGGAAGCGCTTCAAGCGCCACCAGCAGGAGCACCTGCGCGAGCAGACGGCGCTCATGATGCAGAGCTTCGGCGCCTACAGCCTGGCGGCGGCGGCCGGCGCCGCGGGACCCTACGGCCGCCCCTACGGCCTGCACCCCGCGGCCGCGGCCGGCGCCTACTCGCACCCGGCGGCCGCCGCCGCCGCCGCCGCAGCCGCGGCGCTCCAGTACCCGTACGCGCTGCCGCCGGTGGCGCCCGTGCTGCCGCCCGCCGTGCCCCTGCTGCCCTCGGGGGAGCTGGGCCGCAAAGCCGCCGCCTTCGGCTCGCAGCTCGGCCCTGGCCTGCAGCTCCAGCTCAACAGCCTGGGCGCCGCCGCGGCCGCCGCGGGCACCGCGGGCGCGGCGGGCACCACGTCGCTCATCAAGTCGGAACCCAGCGCTCGGCCGTCGTTCAGCATCGAGAATATCATCGGCGGGGGCCCCGCGGCGTCCGGGGGTTCGGCCGGGAGCTCTGGGGGCACCGGCGGCACCGGGGGAGCCGGGAGCGGCGGGAGCGGCACCGCGCAGTCCTTCCTGCGGCCGCCCGGGACGGTGCAATCCGCAGCCCTCATGGCCACACACCAGCCACTGTCGCTGAGCCGGACGACGGCCACCATCGCGCCCATCCTGAGCGTGCCGCTCTCGGGACAGTTCCTGCAGCCCGCAGCCTCCGCCGCCGCCGCCGCCGCCGCCGCTGCGCAAGCCAAGTGGCCCGCGCAATAGGGGCGCGCCGGCCCGCGGCTGGGACGCAAGGCCGGGCGGCGGCCCCGGGCTGCGGCCGCACCTCTAAACCCTGAGCGCTCCGCCCGGGTCCCGGTGACCCTGCCCAATCCTGGACTCTGCGAATCCCTCACCCCCCCCCCCTCCTCCCGGCACCCCACCCCACCCCACCGCGACCTTCCGTGACCTCCATCCCCTCGCTTACACCGCGCTGGCCCAGCAAACTCATCGCGCGCCTGCCCGGGAATAGCTTTCCGAACAGGTAAAACCCATAACCGAATTTCAAAAACAAAAAAAGAAGCCACCCCGACGGCGCTTGCTGTCCCTTGCCCTGAGGAGGGTAGGAGGAACATTCTTTGTACATATTTGTATAAAATTTATGACTTTCCTTTTGGGGTTTTTATTTTTTTAAGGAAAAAAAAACCAAATTCAGTAGATTTAGAGCTCTGAACTTTCATTTTTTTGGAAGGTTCACTCTCCGCAGTTTTATCTGAGAAAAGAATGTATAGAGACGTTGGGAGATTTTAAATACAAAAAAAAAATTTTCAAAAGAGCGAAGTGTCATACTATTATAAAGGTCTGTTTATATATGAATGAATATATGGTATTCTAAATGTTATTCCATCGTGTTGTACACAAATTTGTAAATAAATTTTTAAAATGCTCATCCTAGTGTTTTATTTAGGGTGTCTAAATGGCAAGATTTTAAAATGGAATTTGCATTTTATTTTCTCCAAAAAAATCCAAGAGTTTCAAGTAATGACTTTTTCAAACTTTGGGTTTAAGAATATTTTAATTGGAGAACGTGTCTACCTAAATTGAATCATTAATATTTTTTCTTTTGTTTTCACGTAAAATCAAGGTGTAGGTGAAGAGCTAGATTATCTCAACCCATTAAATCTAAATGACTAGACACTTCGGTAAAGTTGTTTTTTAAGTCATTAAAAAGTCTATTACTAAACAACAGCAGTCTTACATTTTTAAAGATCAGATTAGTATCTTCCACGAAGCAAACTTGCCTAGATTTCTTGGTCATTTTAATTATCCCTTCAAAAGTAATTAGAAACATTCTTCATTTTAGCTTTTAAATCTTAAATTTTTGAAATTCCTTAGGTGAAATAAAACCAATTTTAAAAAATTTATGCGATGACATTTTACATTTTGGAGAGGAATAGAATGATGTATATTAACCTGATAGACTGTGTATTGTTGTTTGATTCTTTCATAATATTTTGAAAAGGTGCCCTCTTTCCGGCAACAATCAACTTGCCTCGTAATTGGATTTCCGAAGGATTCCCTTACAGACGCTCTCCTCCCTCCCTCCGAAGCCTGCTACAGGACAAGGAATCACCATTAATACCCTTTTAAAAACAGGTGCACATCAGCACCACGCCCCCCTTTTCTCTACCTCAAGCTAGGTTAGTGTGAAATGCGAGATCGTAGGATAAAAATGGACAATGTCCCCTTAGATCATTCCTAATGTGCATTCAGCTATTTCAACCTTTAAAAAAATACTAAGAAATAAAACGTCTTGACTCGGGAGGCCGCTTCCCGCCACCAGCAGCGTATCCTCAAACGGCATCAATTCTAATTATTTTTGTAATTAATTTAGCTGTTACCATTACTTATGCGAAATCGCTTTTTTAAACCCGAGCGGGTAAGCAGCCCTGCTTGCTCGGCCTGCGCGCGCCGGAGTGGCACAACCCCCGGCCAGACGGACGCTGTCATCCGCTTCGCCTCCCTCCCGGGTGCTGGAGATGCCTCTCGGTCCATCTCAGCCTTATTATTACTTTTTAAAATCCGCGACCGAGGTAGGTTAGAGGTTCCTTTGAAATACACTTCCTCCCAAATACCGAATCTGTTTTCCTGGTAAACATTATTGTGTCCTTGAGTAAACATTCCTTCAGGATCAGGTCCTAAAATAAAACAGGCTGCTGGAGGGGGGGGTCAGGGGGGGCTGGGGGGGGAGTGGTGGTGAGAGTTTAACTCGATAAACAAGAACCTGATAATCAACCACAGCCCCAGTAACCTTCCCGCAGGAGATATTAAGGACCGACCGGTCTAAGGGCGGGTCCCTTCTAATCTCCTTTTACAAGGAAAACGAAATGGATCTAAATTTGTTTGTGTGTTGCAGCTATAAAAGTAACAAGTTGTTTCACAGTTGTGTCTGGCTAATCGGTTTTTTACACAAACAGCAAATGGTACATGATTTGTGCAAACACACAGAGGTTATTTCTAAATTTAGCTGACACCCCTGGGAAAAGGGAAAGGCAGGGCTTCTTGAATTCACTTTTAGCCTCAAGAAGCTGCTGATCCAAGGCTTCTAAATGACATTGGATAACAGGGGCCTCATTCCATCCCTGATCCTTTGTTACTTATAAAATTACTCGCTCATATTTCCGCGCATAGCAGCAATACCGGCCGAGCCTGAGCCCGCAGCGTGACACTCGGCCTCAAGCTGCCGTTTGAGATCCGCAGGGCTTTTTCCAAGGACGGGTTGGGAGGAGTAGAGATCCGCCGGCGACTCTGCTTCCAGCCACTCTCACTTTCAAAGTACAGCCTGGAGAAGGACCCTTCCCCCTTGATCTTGGAGTGCAGGAGACCCACATACCCAGAACCCCAACCGGCCAGCGGTTGTTAAAAGTCCTGGCAGATGCTAGGAAGGTAGGCCTAGGTGTCAACTCTGAAAACCTCTTCTGGGTTTAAGCTTTTTCAACTGCGATGATTTAGAGCAGAAAGAGAAATGCAAATATCGTACATAAAGATGCGGGGGGGGGGGGGGGATTGCCAGCACTTAGCGTCGGGCGGGTGACAGAAGCTTGGAACCTCTGTTTACTGTTTCTGCAGGCGCCTGCACAAGACACTGAGCGCTGCTATCGCGTTGAGATTTAAAGGCAATGAAACTGACGTCCGCCTTTTATTTCCTTTACGAACAAAAGTTAAAGGAAAGGTTGGATTACTCCAGTTAAAAGGAAGCAGGTTGAATTTTAGGCGGAGAATTCTAGCTTTCGACTATACACAGATTTAAACATTTTCCCACTCCGGATATCGATTTCTAACAAAGCCAATATACTCCTGAGTTCTGTGGCCCCTAGAATGCCCTCAGGATGGGGGTTCTTGAATAGACCTCCCCCCCCCCCCAACCCCCAGCCATGAAGAAACAGAGGTTGGTTCTGGAGGTCTGGAAAAATGGGAGCCAAGGTACTGAAGAGCTCTTGCTGCAATGGCCGATATGACCTGTAGGGGGCAATGAAAAGATGGAAAACTTCCTTTCTTTCCCAAATCCCCAAGGCCTCACCTTTGCCCCTAAGCCCTGACACCCTCCCACCCCCAGGTCACCCTCCTTCATCCTCCCATAGTGGACCTCATGTGAATTTCAAAGAAGTTGTCTTCCTCTTGGAAGGGACAGGGTCCTCAGCAGAGTTGGTCCTAAATATTGGGAAGCAATAAAGTTTAGTGATCAGGAAACATTGGCTTGAAAGCAATCAAGAGTTGTATTTGAGTTTATTTGTTTCACGTGGTTTATAAGGAGACTCTTAGTAGCAAGAACTTGAAAGGTAGGGTGGGGATCTTAGCGTGGGTCCCCTTGAGAAACTGTCCTGAAGAGAATATTATCTGACAGCCAGTTTTTAACTATGTGTCCAAGTCCACCTGAGTCTGTGCGGGTGCAAAGTGCTGTGTGTGTAGGGCAGTGTGTGTGTGTGCTGTATTTCATGGGTGGGGTGACAGGAAGCCACAGGATGAGCCAGGCCTTGCCCAATGTGTCTCAATCATAGATTATTTCCTATTACTTTAGACAACCTGCCTGGTTGTGTGTGTGTGTGTATGTGTGTGTGTGTGTGTGTTTTAATGTCTCTATTTTCCATGACTACATGAGAATGAGCCTACCTTCCTCTTGGATTTGTAGAATTAGGTGAGTTGGCATCAGTGACAAAAGGTTTCATAAATTGTAAAAACCTGGAAAGACCTGTTTGTATTTGTCTTAATGGCTTCTGGGTTGGAGAAACAACTCTGTCCTCAGGAAGTGATTCTGAATAAGCTTGTTGTTTTGGAAAGGCTCGATTTTAGTGTGAAAAACAAAGAGGAGCACAGAACTTATCTCGGCTCTTAGCTGGAAGGATGGGGGCAAGTTGGAGGGAACTTTCGAGCTGAAAGCCCCTCTTTTTCGACCACACCCTGGGCCCAAGGACTAGGCCTGAAGTGTCCAATTGTCCATCCGAGCCTCTAGCGCGCACCCTAGCTCCGGAGGCCGGCACATCGCTTTCGGGTCCAGCGATCTGCCTTGCCATTTGCCCCTTTGCTTCCTACTAAGCGAGGCAAGTGGGGAAACCCGAGCCCTCCGCTGACAGACGCCCATTAGCGCAAAACGTAGCGAGTTAAAGGTAACCAGATCCCAGACTCGCTTAAAAGACCACCCTCCCTGCGCCGCCCTCCAACAGTTGGCAGAGTTACACCCAGAGCCAAGTCCTCTCCCCCCTCCCACCCCCCCCCCCCCCGCCTCCGGCCCCCTCCCCGTGCCCTCTTAGGAATGTACAGGCCAGGCTCTGCTCCCCGAGGCAAACCCAGCCAAGTAGGGCGGTGCATGGAGCAAAATTCGAGAAGAAATGTTGCAAAAACCAGCCAGAGAGCATAATCATCCCATTTTCATTTCCCTAGATGGTGTCTTACATCAGAATTTTTCTAAAGGATTAAAATTTCCTCAGGAATTAAATTAGTCGCACCTCCCTGTTTTATTATAAAACCCTCTACGCCCACCGCTCCATCCCGTCGGTTAGGGTGGAAGGAGGGGGCGGGGCGGGCAGCCATTCCCTTGTGTCTGGGTCATCTGATGATTGAGGTTCTGGGCCCATCTTTGGGAAAACAGTCCTGGAATATCCTCCATAGAAGTGGCCTAGGAGCCTCCCCCTCCCTCTCTTCTTCACTCAAGCCCAGAAGATTCGGCGTGACTTGCCCAAGGTCACTCAGCAGGACCAAGTGTAAGCTGCAGAAATTCTCCAGGGAGG